TTAACATTTAACCTTTATACTAACAAATCAAAATTACACTAAAATTTAATCTTTATATCAGCCAATCAAAATTACATTAACATTTAATCTTTACACCAACCAATTAAAATTGCGCTAATATTTAACCTTTGCACCAGCCAATCAGAATTGTGTTAGCATTTAGCTTTTGTGCCAGAATTTAGCCATTGTGCCCAATTGCACCAAGGCTAATTCCTGGGCTCAATTGACTAAATTAAATCTGGTTAAATTCCTAGCTCAATTCGTATTGCGTCTCCCATCCCTAGTCAGAACTTACCTTTTTCATTTTTTGAACCCATTTATCTTTTAAATCCTTATCAAGTTCTAGCGAAACTATTTCATTTTGTTTTATTTTCTTTAAATTAGAATTTACTATATTTTTTCTTTTCTATATCTACTATCTTGTTCTTGTAATTGTTTCAGTTTACCTTTTTCTTGTTTTATCCAGTTTCTTTACTTTTGTTATTCTATAGTATAAAATATTAATTACTTTAATATTATTTGTCTTTTTATACTTCCAAAACTCACTGATAACTATCAAGCTAAACCCAAGCACTTGTTGTATTTGTCCTTTTGATTAATTTTTATATATTGTGTAAATTTTTGTTTAATTTAAAATTTTTTATTCATTGTATATATACTGTGTAAACTTTTTTCAATTTAAAAATATTATTAGTTATATAAAAATGTTTACAAAATATACTTGTAACTATTTATATAACTCTGGTAAAGTTTGTAACAAAGCTTGTACTCGACCTGAAGGGTGTTGACACTATTATTTAGCTAAAAAGCGATATTCTTGTACTGATTGTGACAAACTTATTAGATCTGCTTGTAGATGATATAATTTGTATAAAAGAGGTTATTATCAGATTCAGTATGTTAATAAGTTATGAGAAAAAACTTATTAAAATAGTATATCAGGAATTTGATCTAGAGTATTAAATACCAAGGACAATTTTTGATAACAAGAGGTTAGATTTATTTTTGCTAGAATTATTTATATCAGGAACTTATTCTAAAGTACTAAATACCAAGGACAATTTTGATATCAAGAGGTTAGACTTAAGGTTAGATTTATTTTATATATTAAAACTTGATTTAAAGTGTTAAAATCAAGAACAATTTTCAATATCAAGAAGTTAGATTTATTTTTTGCTATTCTAAAAAGCTTTCTAAGAAAATTAAAGCTTAAATAAAGCATGGAGTAATTAGGACAAAATATATTAATATTACATATAGTTTAAATATAAATCTAATCTCTATAAGGTTAAACTTATGATATCAAGAAGTTAGACATTAATTAGATTTAGTAAAATGATATACATTTTAGCTTGCTACATGTTAGAGAAAAGATCAATAATATTTATTACATTCATATTCCTTTATCACTTTTCTTTGTTTTTTTAACAGTAAACAGGATAGCATAAAATAAATATAATCAAAATATGTTGAAAATGAAGTGCAAAATATAAAACACACATCATTTGAGTGAGGTGTAAAATGTTTTTTACAAGTCTAATCCAAATCAGTTATAGATTTGAGCTTTCAACAAAGTTAGCACACTAATATCATATATAAGGTTTTTGTTCCAAAACCTCTATTTTGACATTGTATATTATACCTTTTGTCAAAATATAGAATAAAGATATATGGTATATATAATGTATAGATTATACATGTTTTCAAAATTGATTTCTGATTTTTAGAAATATTTAGTCTTTTTGAAATTTACTCAGAATTTATTTTATATGTGAAAGTAAAAAAAAAATATCTAGTTAAGAATATCTTTAATCAAGAAATTTATCTGAATAGTTAAAAAATTTCAAATTTTAAGTAAATAATTAATTTCATCTTTTATAAAAAATTATTTTGACTTTTTTCTTCAAAATTACAATTTTGAGATTTCAAAATAATTTTGTATACAAGTATAGTACAGACAACCTTTCTTGTAATTTTATAAAAGTTAAAGAAATTATTCACAACAAAGGAAGTATGTATCTTTTTAAGAAATATATAAATATCTACATTTCTATACAATAGATAAGTAGTAAAGGTTATAAATGATCTGCAAGTATTAATTGTATAAAACTATACTTGTACACAAAATTAAATGTGTAATCTCAAAATTAATTTTGGAAAAAAAAGTCAAACAGTTTTTTATAGAAAACAAAATTCTTTAAAACTTGATTTTTATTCTTTAATTAACTGAATACTTTTTTTACTTTCATATATAGAATAGATTTTGTATTAAGTTTGAGAAGACAAATTCACTGGTCAAAAATTTATAAATATCACACCTATCAGTTGCCTGATAGGTGTATAAATAATATACATATTCATACACTTATTGGATATCTGATAGGTATATTAGGTACCTGATAAATGTAGTAAAATATTTTTTATACCTATCAGGTATCCAATAAGTGTATGAACATTTACATTACTTTTACATTTATCAGGTACCTGATAGGTGTGGTATTTATAAATTTTTGACCAGTGATTATCTCATAACTTCAAAATCAATTTTGAAAACATATATATATAAAACACTCTAAATCATAATATTCATATTGCTTACAGTATATTCATCTCTTTCAAATCTTTGGATAAAATTATAACAATATAATTATTTATATTTTAACTATATTAAAATAAATGTATTTTATATTAATCTTTAAATAAAATTATTTAAAATTATTTATAATATATTACATGGTTACAAATGTGCAATTGTTTTGGAAATAAATAATGTAATTTAATATTTATAAGATAAATTTCTTGAGTTTGAATTTGATCTTGACTATTATTATTACTTTCATCATCAATATAATCAGGATTTATATATGATGCTGCATTATCAATTAATAATAATATTTTTCTTTGTTCCATATAAAATTTATAATTCAAATTTCTCAACCAATTTTCACAAATATTGATACTATAAATGTTAAAGATACAAAGGTAAGTTCATCTTTTTATCTGTTTATTGTTTTTTTTTGTAATCACTAAAATCATTGAATTTATAATTTAGAATTAATTTCTAAACTGGCCTGTATTTCTTTGTAATTTATTACTTTCTCTTCATTTTCTTTTGAATTAACATTGATTAATTCCTTTTTGTAAATGCTTTCATTCATTGATTTGACAAGAGTAATAGGTTCTTTAATATTGGTTTATACATTTAATCATTATTGTGTAATAATTAAGATTTAATACTAAATATTATTCATAATTATATATTATTGTCAAATGTTAATAAGTATTACTAAATATTGTCAATTATTACTAATTGAGTTATATCTATATTTTGTTAATTACTGTGGTGCTGTATATACTACATATTGTGTATTTGTGATTTAATTTCTAAACTATATATTCTACTTGCTTGTTAACAATAATTAAGTGTGACCAATAGTGAATGTTTCAATACTCCCTTGAAGACACGATTAAATTATTGTACCTGGGACATCCAATTCCAATAAGGAACTTTAATTGTATAATTTAAATTTAAAATTTTTTAATTTCTTATCAAATTAATGTTATTAACTAGAAGTTTCATTATAACTAATGAAATTGATTAATTATTATGCATACATTTAACACATATTACTTATATAGTTACTCTAATTAAATTAATTAATATATTTATCAAATATATAAATAATGTTTGTGTCAAAGAGTTTTTAATCATAATAATAAATAATGAATATAATGAATATAATGAATGAATGAATACAATACAAATTAAATGTGCATTGAATGAGATAAACGAAAAAATAAATAATAATAATAATAATTAAAAATGTATTCTATATGTTATTCTATATTTTATTCTAAAGGATTCAATTTAATTTTTTTTTTTAATGGTATCAATAATATCTTCAACATTAATTCCTCTTTGAATTTTCAAATCCAAGAATTTAATGGTAACCTGAGATTTTTTAAATTCCTCTTCACCTATTAGTATAGCATGAGAAGCATTAGATTTTAATATATTTCCTAATATATATTTTAAACTTGACTTTTTTTTATTAGTATTACTGGTGATGGTAGTTGTTGTTGTATTATTATTATTATTATTATTATTGGTTGTTGATAAGGATGATGTTGTTGAAAAAGATGATGGTAAATGATAAAATAATGTTTTGATATTATGAGAAAGTAAAGATTTTGATATTTTTAAAGCATAAAATTCAAGTTGTTGTTGTTCTTCTCGATCATGTATTACTATTATAGCTACTGGTCTGGTCTTTGGTTGTATACATGATTCATCTAATATCAATGCAAGTCTATCAATTCCTGCTGCCCATCTAAAATGAGAAAGCTTTGAAAATCGAGTCTAGGATAAGAGCAAAAGTAGCAAGAATGACAAGCTTCACTTACCCAATTCCCGGTACTCTATATTTTCCTCCCATCAATTGTACTAAACTATCATATCTTCCTCCGGCCAAAATAGTTCCTTGAGAATGACCTAATCTAGAATCTAAATTTAAATATTTAAATTCAAATATAGTATTCTCATAATAATCTAATCCTCTAACCAATCGATGATTAATTTTATAAGGAATATCTAATTTAACAAGGCCTTGACAAACTATTTCAAATCTTTTAGTTGATGAGGAATTATAGTATTCTGATATGGGAGGACAATTTTTTATGATTGGTTGATCTTGACGATGTTTGGAATCGAGAACTCGTAATGGGTTGGTTGGGATTCTAAGTTATTTATAATTAAAGTAATTAAAAGGTCATCAATGAAGAATAATAAATAATATATTTATTTACCTGTTCAGGCTATCTTCGGATAAATCAGTCTCATGTAGACGCAAATAATCTCTCACTACTTCCTTATAACGAGTTCGTGATTCCATATCAGCCAAAGAATTAATTTCTAACTTTGAAATTTTTTATACTTTTTATATTATATTTTATATATATTTTTTTATTTATCTTCTCAACTCAAATTTAAGATATATTAAATATGGAATAATTACCACTATTTTATCATTTAATCCAATTTTATTTAAAAATGTCATCGCCATATCAATCAATTCAATATCTGAAGTAGGATTATCATGTCCAAACATTTCAACTCCAAATTGTTCAAATTGTCTTAACCTTCCCTTTTGAGGTTTTTCATGTCGAAACATGGATCCGTGATAATAATACTTTCGAGGTAATTCCTGATCTAAATTATTACTTATTAATGATCTAACAATTCCTGCGGTTCCTTCTGGTCTCAAAGTCAAATCATCTTCTTTATCCTTAAATCGATATAATTCTTTACCGACTATATCGGAATCTGAACCTAACGTACGTTCAAATACTTGGGAAAATTCTAATATCGGAGTTGAAATCTATATAAATAAATAAATAAATGACTAATTAATTAATTACAATTAATAAATATTTAAAATATAAATAATTACCTGTTCAAAACAATGTAATTCAGCAATTGATGAACCAATTTTTCGAATATAATCTGATTTAATCAGATCATTATCAAATCGATCATGAGTTCCTTTCACAGGTCTTGCTGGTTCTACGATACTTCCTAAAATAATATGTATAATGCGAAAAATTACGAAAATTTACTAAAAAAAAATAACAATAATATATATCTATGTGTGTGTGTGTGTATATATATAGTTATACGGAATTTATATACATATCTCTCTACATAATGCGTACTTTTAATTATCGTTGGAGTTATTATCGCTGGAATTATTATTATTTTTATTTTTTTTATTTTTTCAAAATTTTCGAAACGTCGTGAAAAAGATCGAATTATAAACATCTTTTTTTGATTATCAGTTGACAATTTTTTGATTATCAGCAAATTTTATCATTATCACGTGTGAACATTTTTTAATTAAACACTCATGCGTGCAAAGGTATCGTTTTTAATAGATCTATGGTTATCTTTTGGTAGACTTATTTTTGAGTAATGTGATGCAAACTAATATATGCATTGTCACGTGACTTACAGAATAACAAATTATGTGATAATCAAATTATCAAAAAAATAACCATGGTATATCAAAAAAAGATAACCATATATCTATCAAAAACGATACCTTAGCCTCATGCGTACATGTGTTGTGCACATGTCAATCATAGTCTCGTGCCACATACAATACAAATTTCATGTACATGATTTATGTAATGTAGCCGATCCAAGGGGAATAATTAATATGCATGTCACAAAGTAACCTTTTGATAAGATTCGTAAGATAGGGAAAAGGGGTCATTTGATTTATCAAAATTGATACAAAATGAAACGAATGAAACGAATGAAACGAATGAAACGAATGAAACGAATGAAACGATAAATTAACCAATTGAATGAATGAATGAATTAAGATTAGAAAATAAGATTCGAAACCAAATTCGTGAAAATTCATTACGTGACTTATTGTGTATATGTTGATAAAATGTTATTCTAAGATTTATTTATTTCAAATTTTATTATTCCAGAATATTAAATGTTTCAACAAAGCAATATTCTAAAAAAAAAAAAAGTGAGGAAGGAATATAGTAATTAGAATAATTGGAATAATTGGAATTTTGATAAATAATCTGGATTTAATAAAATAAATTTTCATACCACATATTATTAGAAATTGTTATTAGAAAATTGTAAATGGAATTTCTTTACTAATTTATCTATTTTTTTTTTTACTAATACTTATTATTATTATTGTAGTAATATAATATTAATAGTAGTAGTAATAGTAGTAGTAATGGAGTGATATGGTGTAATGTTATGATATGTATAATATGTAAATATAAAATGATAATGGAAAAGAAAATTTACATTTTTTTTTTTTTTTAAAAAAAAAAAAAGATTTATTTTAATTTGTATATATTTACTCAATAATTAAAAGCAGACAAAGAAAAAATTAGAAAATTAAGATAAAAGGGAAAAAAAAACTACAAATAATTAAAAAAAAATACGTAACACACCACACAACAGCAAAACAGCTCAAAATGTCAGCTCTCTCGATGCTATAAAAACCATAATGAATTCAAATCAATTGACCAACATTAAAAAAAGGGAAAGACAAGAAAAGAAAGAAGAGAAAGGAGGAATAAAGACAAGGTAATATAAAAAACTAATTTGCTGTACAATGAAAAAAGAGGAACCGATTACGACCAATTATAATAGATTGGAGAAATCAATTCACAAGGAAAATAAGGAAAAATCTATTTCACATTAGGTCAAAGGATAGGAAATCACAAAGCAAAGAGAGAGGTAAAACATTACAGAGATATTAAATACTGTATAGAATATATATATATATATATATATATATATATATTTAAAACAAAGTCTTGAGAAAGAGGGAGAGAGAGAAATTTATATATATAAAATTAATTCATGTACAAGCATAAATTTGGAAAAATAAAAAATAAAAATGGACGTAAAATAAAATATCTATTATTATTAATTATAATTATTATTGTTATTATAATAATTCCTTTCCACTTCCTCAAATCAAATCAAATCAAATCAAATCAATCAAATCAATAAATCTCAATTAATTAATCAATCGATTAATTGACCTCGGTGAGAAGTTGTTTTTCCAGAATATATTTTCCTTCTTTATAACGTTGACTTTGTTCATAAGCTCTCTCCTAATAAATGATGATGATAATAATAAATAAATAAAATTAAGCAATAATATTTTATTTAAACATTTAACGTTATCTATTATTATTATCTGCTCTGTTATTTACAAATTACAAGAATTACCGGACGAATTAAACAATAAAATTACAATTGTACTCACATATTTCCAACCTAACACAGATCGACAGCGAGAACAAAAGATATCCTTGACGGTATGAAGGCCAGTGGTCATACTACGATCCTCCGAAGGTCCTTCCTCAACATTCACACTGTGGGAAAAATAATTTTTTTAAAAAATGATTAGAAAATTCGGAGAATAATTTAAATAATTGAAAATGAAATGAAAAAATGGATTAATGTACAAGTCAAAGGAAAATGCTTACACTGTATCGAAAAGATATGCACGTCCATGTTGTCCTTGAAAAGCCTAAAGTGAAAAGAAACTTTTTATAATTGCCATATATCTTTATTTTCTTTAATTTCTTTAACTTTAATTTATTTATTTATTTTCATTTTTTTTTTAAAAAAAAAATGAAAAAAATAATGATAATAATAATGAAAGAAAATAAAATATGAAAAAAACCTTTGAAATAATACTTTCAGTTGTGGAAAGGTGCGTTCGACACTTATTGCATCCGAAGATACGATTACCGTTCAAATAAATACGATAAGTGAGACCCATTGTTTTAACTTTTTACCAAAGGTATTTTTTTTAAAGAAGTAAATTTCTGTTTCAACCAAGATGATCCGCACGCTTTTTTACTTTTATTTTACGTTTTTTAATTTAATAAAGAAAAGATTATTACGAATTAATTATTAATGAAAAAAAACAGAGGGGGGAAAGGAGCTGCAAGAGGATAGGATTTGCCCTTAACCTATTTATCCTATTTATATATGAACTAATTCGTGTGACCGCTTTTTTTATTTTTTTAAAAAAATGAAGATACCAAAAATGCGCCATTGGCTGATATTTCTGTTATTTCTGATATTTGCCATCATTACACAATCTTATTACGTTTATTTATTACGAAGAGGAGAAGAAAGAATGAACAAGTATATATATGTATTAATTATATTATTATTATTATTATTATTATTATTATTATTATTATTATCATCATCTTATTATTATCTTACTTATCATCATCTCCTCATTATCAGTATCATCACCTGCATCACCTGATATATAGATGACTAGACTCAAATTGATTAACCGAAGAAATTGTGGCTTAAGATGTACGTTCAATTATGTTCAACTCGTGATCAAATACCTACTTTAAATTGTTGTCCATTATTGATACTGGACCAATACCGATTTAAATTTTTACTACCGATTATTGCTACCGCTACTGATTATTATTGTTACCGATTGTACCGATTTAGAGTATTGCACAAATTAATCAAATTAATCGTGATTATCATGATTATCATAATCATCAGAATTACCCTTAATAATAATTTAATGATATTCTACTAATTACGTAATTACATCATGAAGAGCGATCAGAATTACCAAAACAAATTGTTACGCGAATTTTGTTTTATTTTTACCGAGGCGCAGTAATTGCACAATGAAAATACAATGAATTATATACAAATTATATACAAATTATATAAATTATATACAACGAAGGATAATTTATTTTTAATGAATTTAAGAATAATTACAAAAGAGGAACGTTACCCTTATTATTATTTATTAACCCGACTTTTTGCTAGGATATATATATATATATATAAACCCAGTAAATAGTTATTATGACTTCAATTCGACCAGAATAAGAAAGAACAATCGATTTCAAAACAAATAATTAAAAATAAGATACAAAATTAAATTAAACCCAAATAATAATGTTATATACATATATTTGATGACGATGATGAATGAATGAATGAATGTTGATTGATGATTGGATGAATGAATGAATGAATGAATGAATTGCTTTAAGAAGGAAATTTTCCTTCCGGTATATTAAATTTACCACCTCGTTCTGAAGCTTCTTCTAATAAAGTTTTTAAACGTGACATTGCTGATGGTGATGTTACTGATAACATTTGAACTTCCGGCGGAGGATTTGCGATATAAGAATCATAAATAACTGCAAACAAATTGAACGCGGTGTCTCCGAAAGCGCGATGCATTTCGTAAGCTGTGATCTACGAAATAAAATAAAAGATATAAAATTAATAAAAATATTTAATTTAATCATTTAAAAAATCTAATTAATCTATTTAATTATAATATATATGAAAATAATACCTTCAGGCAAGTATATAACAAATATGGTGTGATCTTAATTTGTCTCATATTCATTAATCTTGCAATATATTTCCATATGTGATCAATATAATAAGGATTTTTTACATCTAAAAATTAAATTAAAATTATTAGATAAAATAAAATATTAGATGAAACTAAATAGAATTAAATAAATAATAGAAACATTTGTACTTGGAATAATCGAATCCGTCTGTGCAATTGCGCAATAGAATGCAACATATGCACACATTCTTTCAATATATGATTCATCATTCTCATTAGATCGGTATCCAATAAATTTTTTATAATCTTCAATTGATTGTCCCTACAAAATAATGATATAAATATATTTTAGATGTATCAATTATTTGAATTATTCTCATTTAAATTTATTTATTTATAAAAACAAATAAATAAATAAAAAATTTACATTCTCAGGAGCAAAATATCGAGGTAATATATAAAAACATTTTCTTATAAGTCGAACGATAAGAAAATTAATAAATTCCGAATGTTGAGTTGTGATTAATACACACACATGAGCGAGAGGGAAAGCTGCTGCTTCATTTGACATTACATCAATTTCGGCGTGTCTCTAAAATAAATAAATAAATAAGTTTGACATAATGTCCAATTTAAGGAAATTACAAAATTAATCAATTGAAAAAAAAAATTATTATTGTTATATTTACTCTCATCTCTTTGGCTAGAAAATTTAATAGGTAATAGTAAAGTAAACTATTATTATGTTGCTTTAATATTTTGTCAATTTCGGTGGCCTAAATTTTAAATTATAAATTAGATAAATTAAATAAATTAAATAAATTAAATAAATTAAAAATAAATAATATAAATATATAAGTAATATATAAATTATATATAAAGAATATATTAAATTATAAAACTTACAATTTTAAATATTTCTTCTCGTTTATTTGTTAATACATTTAATTTCAATCTAATTGTTTTTCTTGGTTCATATGATTGAGATTTTAAATCCGCTTTTTTTGATAAATTATCTTTTATTCGTTTATAAATATTAATGTAAAATTCTTGTTCTTTTAAAGCTCCATCGGTGCTGAATGGTTTATTAGAATTTGCTTCATTGATAACTCGTGATAATTCATTTTCTTGTTTTTTTTTCTTTTCCGCTTCTGTTGTCGTCGTTGCTGATGCTTCTTCCACTAATTTTTTTTTCCTTTTTGCTTCTTCTTCTTCTATCGCTCGTCTTCTTTTTTCTTCTTCCTCTAATGCCTTCCGTCTTTTTCTTTCTTCTTCTTCTTCTTCTACACGTTTTCTTCTTTCTTCTTCTTCTTTCTGTTTCTTTCGTTTTTCTAATTCGATCGCTTCTATTCGTTTTCGTTGTTCTTCTTCTCGCCTCTTTTGTTCTTCTATTATTCTTTTAGTTTTTTCATTTTCTGCTTCGAGATATGCCCTTTTCGCTGCTTCCTCTTGTCTTATTATTTGTTCTTCTTGTTTTTTTATTTGTTCTTCTTCCTCTCTTTCAAGTCTTTCGATTTCCTATAAAAATATTATATATTAATTATATTACATTAGAATATATGATATATGATATTTAAATATATTACATTAAATATATATTAAATATATTACATTAAATGTATTATATTACATATATTATATTATATTATTATATTACATATCTTATGTTACATATATAATGTTAAATAATATTGTCATTAAATAATGAATATTATTGACATTTTGATATTTAAATAATTATTATTATTAAAAAAAATAAAAAGTACATCATATCTTCTCTTCCATTCAGCTTGTCTAGCTTCAAATTCTTCTATTTTCTTTTTTTTTTCTCTTTCACTATATCATGAATAATTAAAGTTTATTATAAATGGATTAAATAAATTAAATTAAATAAATAAAATTGTAATTTACTATTCTTCAGTGATTTGGTCTTGAATCTTCTGCCAATATTCATTTCGTTCTTGTCTTTCCCTTTCAAATTCAAGCCACCTCCTAAGTCCCTCTTTTTTAGCAGCCTCACGATCTTGTTGCCGCCTTTTATATTCCTCCTCTAAAGCTTTCTGATTTAAAAAATAGTGAATATATATATAAAGAAGGTAAAAATCATTAAAGAATCGTAAATAATTAATGTGTCGAAAACTTACTTTCAAGCCCTCTTTCCTCCATTGATTAAGTTCATGGAGATATCTATCATCTTCAGCATGAGCAAAGTCGAGATCTTCTTGACTTACGGGTTTTGGCATTTTAGTATTTAATGAATTATTTGTTATTACTATTTTTATACCCTTATCCCAAATACTACAAAAACTACAGGCGTGATGCATAGGAGCATACCCAAATTAGGTTAAGATCTAAATCACGTGTTGAATAATTAAACAGATCGAATTATCAGTTTATCGAATCGAATTTACAATATATATAATATAATAGTTCAACTGTTCCGTTTTAAAAAATAAAAAATAAAATGTCGTCTGATAATCAAACTCCAAGTGATAATTGGGAAGATGCTGAAACTGAATATTCTTCCACCCTTTCTCCGAAAGTCGAATTTAAATTTAATACTGCCGCTAAAGAATTTGTTCCAAGTTGGTTACAAAATGGTTTGGATTTAAACATTTTTTTTTTATTTGACGCTGCCACCATTTTAAGATCACAAATAATTTTGATATAATTATTTCATGAATTAAGATAGATTTTTTTAGATTTAAGATAGATCTTAGATTAAAGATTAATTTTAGATTAAAGATAAATTTAGGTTAAGGCTATTAAAGATAGAAAGTATAATAAAAATAATTAATTGATGAAATTAATATTAATGGAAAAAATTGATGGATGGAATCAAATTCATTAATTGATAGAACTAATCAATCGATATAATTTAATAAAATGAATTAAATGGGAATATCATTTAATAATTATTTATTCATTAATATTTCAGCCAATCGTTCTGAACCTTCTGAACCTCCTGAACCGGAATTAGTTCCACCAATTCCGACAACCGCAACCACAACAACCACAACCACAAATGATGTTACTAATATTACTAATGAAGATAATGAAAATGCAGTGGTTGATTCTGAAATCCTTCATGAATTTTATGGAAAAGAACATGTTAATCTTGTTTTTATAGGTCATGTAGGTTTGTATAATCAATAATTATTTACTCTCATCTCATCTCATCTCATTTATAAATAATTTAAATAATAATGAATATTTATTATTATTATTATTATTTAATATCATTAGATGCTGGAAAATCTACCATGGGTGGAAATATTTTGTAAGTCTTTATTATGAAAATTTTTGATAACCATATATGAATTTAATTTGTGTGAATTGAGATCTAAAATATAAATGTATACAAATACTAATGTACAAATACAAATGTACAAATACAAATGTATAAATACAAATATAAATATGCAAATACCAATATAATATAAATATAATATAATAGATACTTAACAGGAATGATTGATCAAAGGACTATGGAAAAATATGAAAAAGAAGCAAAAGAACAAAATAGAGAATCGTGGTATTTATCTTGGGCATTGGATACTAATAAAGAAGAAAGAGCAAAGGTAAATTATTATTTAAAAAAATTTTTTTTTTCATAAATATTTATATATTAAATATTTCTCTTCAAAATACATATTTATTTATATATTTAAATTATATAGGGTAAAACAGTTGAATGTGGTCGAGCCTACTTTGAAACTGATAAACGACGATATACAATTTTAGACGCACCTGGTCATAAGAATTATGTACCTAGCATGATTGGTGGAGCGGCTCAAGCCGATGTGGGAATCTTAGTATGTATTATTATTTATCATTTACTTATTTTATTATCTACTTACTATTCTACTTATTACGAATTATTCTACTTATTTTACTTATTATGATTTCAGGTGATATCCGCTCGAAAAGGAGAATTCGAAACAGGATTCGAAAGAGGAGGTCAAACACGTGAACATGCAGTACTAGCTAAAACTTCAGGTGTTAATAGATTAGTGGTGGTTATTAATAAAATGGATGATTCTACTGTGAAATGGTCAAAAGATAGGTGAGAATTTATATTTATTTATATTATATTTATATTATTTATATATTATTTATATATTATTTATTATATTATATTTTTTATATTATTATTTATTCATTTATTTATTGTATTCATATTATATTATATAATATTATTTAAATTAGATATGATGAATGTGTTACCAAACTTACACCATTCCTTAAAGGAAGTGGATATAATCCAGCAACAGGTATTTTATTTTAATACATAATAAAATATATAATAATTCTATTTAAAATTTATTATTCATTATTTATTATTTATTATTAGATATTGAATTTATGCCAGTATCTGGATTTACAGGAGATAATATTAAGAAACGAGTACCTGAAAGTGTTTGTGCTTGGTACAAGTATGTATAATATGAATAATTTAAATAAACAAAAAATAATATAAATTTAATTGAATATTAATTTATTGTCAATTTATTTATAATAAATTAATTACAGAGGACTACCTTTACTTGATTATTTGGATAATATGCAAGCTTTGGATAGAAAAATAAATTCACCATTAATGATTCCTATTACAGAGAAATATAAGGTATTAATGATAATATTTAATAATTATATTAATAGTATTAATGATAATTATAATATAATAATATATATTATTTTTAAAGGATATGGGAACAATAGTGGTTGGGAAAATAGAATCGGGTGTAATTAAAAAAGGGGAAACTGTTTTGATTATGCCAAATAAAGTGAGTAAACAATGACTTTATATTTCTATATTTCATAAATTATATAAAATATATCTATTTATTTTATTTATTTATTTATAATTATTATTAGCGATCAGTAGAAGTATCAGCAATTTATAATGAATTAGAAGATGAAGTACCAGGGGCGACTTGTGGGGATAATGTTCGATTGCGTATACGAGGAATAGAAGAAGAAGAAATTTCATCCGGATTTGTTGTGTGTTCACCGACGCGACCTGTTAATACCACATCCGTATTTGAAGCTCAATTGGCTATTTTAGAACATAAAAATATTATTTGTGCGGGTTATAGTGCAGTTCTTCATATTCATTCTTGTGTAGAAGAAGTTTCTATTTCGGTACTTATTATGATTATTTTTATTATTATATTATTATTATATTATATTATTATTATATTATTGTTATATTATTGTTATATTATTGTTACATTATTGTTATATTATGTCATATACTTATATTGATTTATTTATTCTATTTCTATTAATCATCAATATATTATAATATAATAGGCACTTTTACATTTACTTGACAAAAAGACGGGTCGAAAATCAAAGAGACCACCACAATTTATTAAAAAGGGACAAAAAGTAATTGCTAGATTTGAATCCGCTGGTCCTATTTGTGTTGAGTCATTCGATAATTATCCACAATTAGGTAGATTTACTTTACGTGATGAGGGTAAAACTATTGCTATTGGGAAAGTTACTAAAGTTATCAGTGAAAATGAACAATAAATAAATAAATGTATACATCACACACACATATATATATATATGATTAATAATGAAGTTAATGTGGAAATTAAACGTGATATCAAATAAAAACGTGAGATGATGAAGTACAAGAGGATAATTAGTGGATTTGTATAGATGGATATTATAATTATTAATGAATTATTGATAGAAAGAGAATACTTAATAATAGAAAATTTTCTGCTACAAAGAATTTAAATAATTTAAATAATTTAATTTATTTCTCTTTTTTGATATAATTGATATTAACGTATATATTTATTGGGTAAATATATTTATTGGGTAATAAAAAATAATGAAAATAAAAGTAACTATTATTGGCTATTATTAAATAATAAATATAATAAATAAATATAATAATAATGATGATAATATAATAATTACTATAATTAACTACTTTTCTTTTTCTTTTTAATTTTTCTTCCAGGATCAAATGGAATTTGAAATCCACTTAATAAAATCCTACCTTCAAAATCTGTAAAAGCCGTGGTATGAAAAATCACTTGAAATCCCGTCATCATTGGAAACATATCAAAATTACTCTCTATATCTGGAAATAATGATAAAACTTCGGGTGGAAATCCTATGGCTATATTCCCATTTTGATCGCCCGTATTAATTGAAATACCTGACCATTCTTTAATTCTCGGTAAAACTATTTCCACCAATTTATCTAGAAATGTGTACATTGATGCTCCTGAAATGTGTACTTTACATCCTATTGGCATTCCTGTTAAAATATAATAAGTATTATGAATAACATTAGGAATAAATATATTATGTGTAAATGTGATATATAATTTCAAATAATTTACCTTTACGCAATTTCCATCTAGCAACATTACTTTTAGAATACACAATAACTGGTCTTTCCGAGGTAATACATTGTAATGCCATAATTCCACTTAATAAATGTTGTTTATTACTTAAAGCTTGTTTCATCATACAATGTACAACGATTCGAGTTAATTGTGGTAAAGTTTTATGTGATTGTTTAGGTGGTACCGGTCCCGAAGTTTTATTTCCTCGAGGTGGAGGTCTGGGTCGATTTTTACAATAAGGATTGGTATCTTTCGTTAATGCCCATTTGGTTTTTGGTAAATAGACTTTTTTCCTTTTGGCTATAAATTTTTCTTCCGACTGTCGATCTCGATATGTTAATATCATTATATCATCTAATAACGTTGTTTGATAAAATTCTTCCATACGTAACATGCTTTGTCGACCGGGATAAAATTCTGGTTCATTTGGTAATGTTGCGGGTTTCTGTGGAATATAAGTTTCATGTATTTCGTAATATTTAATATTATTATTATTATTGTTTTTATTATAATTGTAATTATAATTATAATTATAATCATTATTACTAATAATATTATTATTATAACTAATATTATTATAATGAATATTATTGTAATTTATACGACTTATTAAAGGTGTGGTAAATTTCTTTATTATTAAATTATTATTACTACTACTACTATGAAATAATAATAATAATTTGTTATGAAATAATAATTTATTGTTTTTATTAAATTTAAAAATGGAAAGATTATTTGAATTGAACATTGAAAACCGAATTTAAAAATCGAATTTATTAAAAATCGAAATTTATATGTTCTGATTTGTTAGATAATCTATATTTTTTTTCAATTTTTTTATCGTCCAATCATTATCAATCTCGCCTCTTTTGATATTTACAATTAATTCCGACCATCCATTTCCCAAACCAAAATAAATGATTAAATTTAAATAATAGTTAATTTTAGAAAAAAATAAAATTATGCAATACATAATCACAAGAGATTTGTTGATCAAGATGCTTATTCAAGAAGTGCAATCTGACAATAGAAGATTTATCATTGATTTGCCAAATGTAAAACAGAATTGGAAATAATTATGGAATAAGAATTCTTAAATAACATATAGCTTGACCTATTTATTAATTGATATCCTAAACTACTATTCTATATAGCTTGACCTATTTATTAATTGATATCCTAAACTATTATTTAGATACATAATTTTTTCTAATACAAAGAAAAAATTAGTTACTGACAAATTTTCAAGTCATGACTTTCAAAACATTGTCTGTTAAAAATGGGCTTCATGGTTTGATAGAACCCTATGAACAAAAGTAAGAAAAGTCTTTTAAAACCTTTCTTAAAATGTAAAATACAAAATATAGAACAAAGCATATAGATTTTACAACTAATTAAAATCTTTAATATTGAAAAAGATGGATGAAAAGTTGTGTGGTATAAGGGATGCTTTAAGCTTAAAAATTAAAAATGCAATACATGAAGTATTTCCATCAATAGATAGCACAAAACCTCAAGAAATATTTTCCTACTATTTATTATTCACCATGCAAAGTATACATTATATTTTAAATGATTTATTTAACAAATATTCAAGCAATTCTATAGCAAAAATAAAAAAAAAATTGAAAAAATATTAACAGATTCAAATATCAAATGTAAAATAATGGGATGAGTTATATTCTTTTGCTAAATATTTGTTAATAATAGTCTGGTTGAAAATACTTAGTTTGAATCTCACATTTCCACTTCATGAGTGATTATCAGTAATTTACAAGTTAAATTAGTATTTAGATAATTTTTTATGATTAAAAATAAGATAGACAATTGTAATAGGTTAATATATTTACAAATAAGAACATATATGTATAAATATAATATCAATAGAAAAACTTTGGACTGTATATATTTTTTATATTCAAATTGGAAAATCTTTTTTCTCAAAATTCAACACATTTTTTAATTTCTAATTAATATGTTTTCAAATATCTATAACAATTTTTCTTGATGTAATCTTAGTGTAGTTATACTTTCTTTATTATATTATATATATTTACAGTTAACTCTTGATATAACAAAGTTACTATATAATAAATTTTTTTTAACACATGATATTTAACCAACCAAATTTTACAGATTTCTCTCATTATAACAAGATAGTTAATTAATTTCCTTTGCTATAATTTTATAACTAATTTAAGATAAAAACCTAGGACTATTATATTGAAAGTTGACTGTATATTTTATTTGTATTAGTTTATATTATTATCTATTATATTATATTATTGTTTGTAGTTACCTAAATTCAAAATTCAAATGTCAAATTTCAAATTCCAAATACTATAAGAATTTTAGCATTCCAAATTCTATATCAAAAAATTTTTAAGAGTGAACATATCCACATTAAATATTCAAATTTAGACAGATATATTTGCAAATATATTCAGATATATTCAAATATATTTACAAAAATTTGCTTATGTGAATTTATTCAGATATATTTACAAATTTATTCAAATATATTTGAATAAATTTACACTAGTCAAATACAAAAGAATCACTGTATCAAATGATAATCCCTATACTATAGATTAGCTAAAAATTGGTAACAATTGACCATCCTATTATATCTTATATTATAAATTAGCTAAAATTAGAATTCCTTTTTGGTACAACATATCTTTTATATTTAACTTGTAAAAATCACTGTGTCAAATGGTAATTCCTATACTATAAATTAGCTAAAAGTTGGTAACAATTAACTGTCTTATTATATCCTATATTATAAATTAGCCAAAATCAAAATTTCTTTTCAGTACAACATATCTTTTGTATTTAACCTGTGTTATGCATGTTTCCAAAATTGATTTTTGATTTTTGGAGTATTTCATCTTTTTGAAATTTACACAGAATCTATTCTATATATGAAAAGTAAAAAAATATCTAGTTAAGTGTATCTTTAATCAAAGAATTTATCTTGGTAGTCAAAAAATTTTAAATTTTAAGTTAATTAATTTTGTCTTTTATTTTGACTTTTTTTTCAAAATTATAATTTTGAGGTTCTAAAATAATTTTGTTTACAAGTATAACCTGTATTATATATGTAAATTTATATGAATATATCTGAATAATTATGATAAATTCAAATATTTCAATGTGAATAAATGTATAGGTAGTCAAATATATCTGAATATATTTATTCTTAAAAATTTTCTAATACAAATGATTTGGAATTTAAGTAACAGGTATAGTTTGTAGTAATAATTATATTGTTTATCACAGGTCAAATACAAAAGATATGTTATACCAAAAAGAAATTCTGATTTTAGCAGCTAATTTATAATATAAGATATAATAGGACAATTAATTGTTACTGATTTTTAGCTGATTTATAGTAAAGGAATTACCATTTGATATAGTAATTCTTTTGTATTTGACTAATGTATATTATATTTATATTTATTATATTATATTTATTATATGGTCTTAAGAATAAAATTATTTATTTATTAATTATTAATATTATATATTATTCCTTATAAAAATATATAAGCAAATATTTTTTTTTGAAAAAATAATGAAATAAAAAGATGTTACCATACAAATGAAACTTTAGAACTTAAAATGATGTGAAAAGTTAATTATAGGTAAAACTTTTTGTCTTAGGTTAGTTGAAATATAAAACAATTCAAATCAAATTTAATTATTACTGTTATTAGTTTATTTCTTTTATTTCTTTTCTTATATATATTTTATTTTATATTATTATTATTTTATATTATTATTTTTATATTTTTTATACTTATTATTATATTACTTATTAATTATTATAGTATTATAATTATTAGTATAAGTAAATTAATTTAGTTAAGTTGTACAAATTAAAAATTTTTATTTAATTTAGCTTGTACAAATAATTATGTAATCAAATGTAAGTTAGAAATATACTGATATAAATATAAACAAAATTACTGAAAGTTATATTAACTTTTATTCATTATTATATTTTTATCTTATTTATCATATTATTATTTTATTATTATATATTTATTAGTCTATTTATATTTTATTAGTTTAATTTCTTATTTTATTAGTATATATTTATAGAAAAATGTTAATATAAATCATTTTGAAATTGGTACAACTATTAAATATTATGACTGTAGATCTGAGCATAATCAACAGTATAATGTATAGGGTAATTAATAGTGTATTCAATAGTGTAATGTACAGTTAATAGATAGCATAATGGAAAGTATAGTTAATAGTATATATATTGGCATAATTAATAATGTATGTATTATGTAATCTACAGTGTAATCTATTATAACTTCAATTATGTATATAAAGGATTGAATTTTTCTTTGTACAGTTCTCAGTTAGTCAGTTAGTCAAAGAGTTAATTCAGTAATTAATTCTCAGTTACTTTATTAATTCTGTTAAAAAAATACTTTGTAATTTACTTTATAAATAATAAATACTTGTGCAGGTTGTTATTTATACCATTATAATTTTCTTAGTAAAATTTTATATTATTTCTTAGTGGAATACTGAAATCCTTGATAATTTATATTCTGTTTTGTGATCTTGGTATATAGTTTTTGTGTTATAATTTTTTACTTAATGTTAGAAATTATCAGTTTAGTTTAGTTTAGTTTATACCTTATTCTCTGTAAATAGTTTAGTCAAATCCTTATAAAAATCTTATAGCCTTGTTTCTTTCAAACAAATCTTTAATACCTAAATCTTTCAATTATCATATTTTTTGTAATATAAATTAGTTAGTAGTAATATATTTTAATTTAACTACTGTATCTTTAGCTAATAGTTAATTATATTCCTTGAAGGTCAAATCACAATCAATAATATATATTGATCAAAATACTGATCTGGTTATTGACAACAGTATTGACTTGAATATATGAATACTGACAATAATTGTAATGTATATAAAAACTGAGTTTTTTCTCAATTTGTAAGAGTGTATATGTTCTTAATAATAAAATTATTAATAAAGTCTTAGTAACATTTTTGATCTATAATTCTGTATAAATTATTATTTATAAAAACTTACTATCTGCTTTTTTTGAAACAATTTGTAATAATAAAATCCTTTATACTTTATATTTCCTTTATAGTATAAAACCTCTTTAACATTGATAAATTAAGTATAGTTACTATGTATTCTATATATATATTTTCCTGTTTTTAGTTATTAGTTTATTATATTTATTTGAAAGTAAATTATGGTCAACACTAAAGATGGTTAGCTTAATTAATTTTAATCTGGCTTAATTAATTGTGCCTTGACTAATTAATTTTGTTCTGACTAAATTCTAGCTCAATTAATTGTGCCAGTTAAATTCCAGTTCAATTTAATTACACCAATCAAAT